TGAAGTATTCTCTTTAAAGTAAATCTTGCTACTAATTCATAAAAATGGTCAAAACAAGTGGCAGACGCAAAACATAAGTTTGGAGTAATTGCTTTCTAAGACCAACAATTTAAGACAAAAATACTATGGACAGCAATAGTGAGCTATTAAAGAAACCTTTTCACTAGAAGGAATAATGTTATTGGTTCTTTCAAATGATGAAAATAGGAGTAAGAATAAAATCCCCAATCATAAACGGTTTGTTTGTTTGAAGTTAAGCACAAAGTTACACAATGAGCTATCTGTACTCTGCCCACCACGGTTATCGAAACCTGATTTATCTGTGCCACAGGGGGCTTGATAAACGAAAAAAAAAACAGTTCTGAAAAAGACCTTATAATGCATTTATTCTTTAAATATATATAAACACTAATATAAATGCAGAAAAAGTATATAGAAAATATTGGCGACGAAGTCATATTGATATATCAATAGGAAAATGTGATGTATACATGCTGGAGCTACACAAATCTTTCTACTTCAAAGAACTTTTGTGACATAAATTATAATGAAGTCTTTTCTGGCCAAAAGTAACATTAACGATACTGCTATAGAAGTGGATCTTATAATTACATACTTGTTGCACATTATAGATGCAATATAGTTACATGTTAGTCGGCATAATATTATGTGGATGCATAAAGTCACAAATGTTGTAATGGCAGCTGCACGTAACAATGCTATTCATAATAAAAACTGATCATTCCCACACACTTTCATTTTACTTGGTCACTATATATTTCGACATATTTTAATAACTACAAAATTTATATAAGCATTATATAGTTATAGAAATTTTATCGGTTATAAGCTTTCATAAATATTATACACATATATGTTAAATGCTCTAAAGTAAAGTTGATACTATACAGATACAAACACGTTACAAAATTCATTACTTTATTTTTACATAAATTACATATTGTAAACTTCCAAGAATATTGTGCACTTGTCTACTTCTCACGGCTCATAAAGTTAGATGGGCTTCAAACGTGTAAGGATATATATATATACTTACGCGGAAAATGCAAAGTAAAAAGGATGTTACTCACTACAAATATGTACACGGGTTGTTTAGTTCTATATATCTCATTGACTTTACACTGTGGTGTTCAGTATAAACCTACAATAAATATACGCAGTTCTATACAGACATGCTGGTTATTCGTTTTTCGTTACCGATGGACAGAATGCAAGCTGAAGGATGTATCTCTCAACTGTGAGGAGTTGGCTGTGTAGTACCGAGGATTAAAATGGTTAGAAACTAGAAGTATCCTACCTCAAGGCTCTACCTCTGGAAATTGCCTCAAGAATTTTCAGACTCCAGACATGGAACAACCAATTGAACTGCCCTGGGATGTTTAGGAATACCGTGTGAAGGACAGATTCTGAAATCTCACTACATTTGGAAATTATTTGCAAAATATTGGCAGTCTGTCCCACCTGACGTCTATCAACAATAATTGGCAGATGCTGGTAAAAGAGTCCAGTTTGTGATCAATGTTAAACGTGGTTCATTCCCTATTTACCAGAGTCCCAGAAGCACGTTTCCCAATATGTGCTTTTTTACTAATACAGGGTAAATGTTACTAGCTGTAAGTTAATATCTGTAAATTATGAATACAAAACTGTTACTATTTATTGAAATAAATTGAATTTCCACAGTTCCGTGCATCCTACTGGCTATGACGTCACATGTAAACCAATTGAGTACATACATTTTACTAAATTTAAACCTCTATGCTTGATGTACAATTCCATGCACACTTCTATCTATGAACTGATATAGAATCTCTACAGCATTATTCTAGCAGCAATATAACTTTTACAGGAAACTCTAAAGTAACATCCTAGCAGCTATAGAATCTCTACAGTAAAATTCAATTAGGTATGGAACCTCTACGTCAACATCCTAGCAACTCTCCACAGTAACATACTAATAGCTATAGAACTTCTACAGTAAAATTCAATTAGGTATGGAACCTCTACATCAACATCCTAGCAAATCTCCACAGTAACATCCTAGCAGCTATAGAACTTCTACAGTAAATTTCAATTAGGTATGGAACCTCTACATCAGCATACTAGCAAATCTCCACAGTAACATCCTAGCAGCTATAGAACTTCTACAGTAAAATTCAATTACGTATGGAACCTCTACATCAACATCCTAGCAAATCTCCACAGTAACATCCTAGCAGCTATAGAACTTCTACAGTAAAATTCAATTACGTATGGAACCTCTACATCAACATCCTAGCAACTCTCCACAGTAACATCCTAGCAGCTATAGAACTTCTACAGTAAACTTCAATTAGGTATGGAACCTCTACATCAACATCCTAGCAAATCTTCACAGTAACATACTAACAGCTATAGAATCTCTAAAAAATCATCCTAGCAGCTATGAATTTCTTTAAATAAAACGTTTATGTGCAAGGAATAAAACACTATACGGTTGTATTTAACGTTTATAAATCACGTAATTGTTAAAGAGATGCATAGATACTACTATAATTTCTTAAAAGCCTTTCATTTGAAACTTATATTGATACACTACACTTAAGTTAATTCTTATGAATTGTTATATTAAACTAAAAGTACAAACGTTACACTTTCTGTAAATTTGCATGGTATTCTTACGGTTACTGACATTTTCAATGCCACATTATTGTAAGGATATTTTATAAGTATACAGTTGTCCTTGTCTGTGTAGTTATGTGCATACGTATATTTTGCTATGTAAAACAATGTTAACGATATACAACGTACTCATTAGTGACATATACGTTTCTTCTAGGTTGTTGTTATGGCCAGATTCTGCTTCTTTATACCTCAGAGAATTGCTTGTATTAGCTAGTTGTTTCTCATTTTTACTTTACCAATGGCTCTGATGCTAACAAAGAGTTTATTCTATTACCCAGTGCTAGTTGAATTAACGCACTAAATTGTTTTTGGTTTAACAAAGATCTAGCTTATTTTCATTCCAAATTTTTAGCTATGTTAGTATCTCTAATAACTTATTACATTAACCAATAGTTAACTGATGTTTCCAGAGCTTTGACTTCTGTTACTATAATTAGGATTCCCTAAATTGTTGATGTACATAGATAGAGTAGCGTAATCAATGACATCCAATGATACTGATGTACATACATAGAGCAGCTTAATCAACTATATCTTACCCTGCTGATTAACATGCATTTCCAAAGATGCACCTCTACTAATAAAACAACGATACTCCCCATTGTTGAAGTACGTACACAGAGCATAGTAGCCAACGATATCTTACACTGCTGATTAACATGCATTTCCGAAGATGCATCTCTACTAATAAAACAACGATACTCCCCATTGTTGAAGTACGTACACAGAGCAGAGTAACCAACGATATCTTACACTGCTGATTAACATGCATTTCCTAACGAGCAGCTTCACTAATAAAACAACGATACTCCCCACTGTTGAAGTACGTATATAGAGCAGAGTAGACAACCATATTCTACAATTTTGATGTACCCACATAAAGTATAGTAATTCTGAGAAAGGAAGTTTTAGAGAATTGTAAAATCGCAGTTTTATCAAGTGAATCATGGAAAATTAACTATGTGATTACCGTATTATACTCGTCTTTGTACGTGTATTCTTCTTGGAAAAAAATGAATTAAAATCCTATAACCCGAGCGCTTTCGAAAGGTGGACCTTTCTTCTTCAGGGGCAAACATATTCTACAAATTGTTACTCCTAAAGGTTTATCTTACGATTATTAATTCCGACGTGAGTGTTAATTTTACAACTTGGAATAAGTTAACTACAATAACGTCCATGATCTAGCATTGACTTTGAGCAGAGTATTTGTCTATTAACTGATGCTAGAGGCAAAGTAACGCAACTTGTATTTTGATTTATCATCACGGATCACTAAATAAGCCCTTACTTCCTGAAGCTCCCGGTAGAATATATAACCTTCCTTCTTGGGTCACCTCTCATTCTTTAGATGTGCATTCCTTGAAGCACACTTTGATTCGGTGTAAAGAACGAACGGTTAGAAGCTGAGTGAATGTCTCTTCAGTATTGTATTGATTTTTGTTACAGTTTTTGTGAGAGGTAAGTTTCCAGGTTTTAGACGTTTTCTAACAGCTTTATAGACATGTAGACTGATAGATAGAGGGATTATAAGATATAATTACTACTTCGGCTTTGGAAAAAATTGATAAGTATATTCTTATAGTGTTAAAAATTTAAAGTCAATAACGAATTCAATATGGTTGGATCATATATATTTATTTGATTTCTTTTCCTGATTGATTTTATTTCTTTATTCTTCCTACTTTCTTTTATTTAGCAGACAAAATGCGAGCTTGAAAAATTCGTAAGCTAAAAAAAATAGATTTATTATGATAACATTTTTTTCCCATTAATATGGATTTATTAGTGCCGGTCTGTGAATACAAGCATCCATGGCTTGCGTCTCTTTGTTAAAAAGTCTTACTCCGTACATTGGAGCTATATATGTGTGTTATAAGAGTAAAGATCAGATTACCGTATTCGATTATTATAGCCCAATAGTTAGCGGTGGGTGCTGTTAACTAGTTATTATTCCTATACTTTGTAATTTCAAAAATATGGACGTCTATCGCAGATAACCCTTTAGCGCAAATATTCGAAACAAACAAACAAACAAGACATTCTTTCATAGATTGTGGCAGAGTATTCATGATGAGTAAACTGGAATGGACGGCAACTACCTTTTGAAACGTCATCCTCTACACAAAGTTTTTTCTTATATAACTGATTTTTGAATAAACAAAAGGTTTTAAACTTAAATATTTCTATCGTTTATTGTAATCTCAATTTTCTTTGTTCTTGGTTTATTACAGCTAATTTTTCAGAAAGATACGTCAAAAGTATTGACTCCATCCTGCTATCGGTAGAATCTCGAATATAAATTCTAACTTGAGATGTTGAAGAAGCTTGTCTGTATCTTTTTCCTTTATATATTTGCAACAAGTGGTCAGGAACTCGAAGAATTAGATAAGAATAGTCTCGTTCCCAAAAGTCGAGTAAGACGTATAGCCTTCCCACCAGACAGTACGCTTGAGATTACTGCCGAATTGCTATTGCCCATTCCTTTAGCAAACGGAGTCACTAGCGCTGTCTGCATTGAACTCCCTGTTGCTGTTGCAGTGCCACCTGCTGCAACGTTTTTCGCTACTTACTACAAAACAAGAAGTATAGCAGAGAACAGATTAGGATTTTTTAGTGGGGTTGAGACGATGCTAAAGCGATTTGGAATAGATGGAAAAGAGTGTGTTCTGAGGACCATATGTGAGGTGGCAGAAGTACCAGTATTAGAAGACGGACTTCTGGGAGAAGTTTTGAACTTGCTTCTTTCGTAAGTAACTAAGTATGAAAATATATAAATATTCACTAGACGAGCACACAGTACTAGGACAGTAAGCAAGACAATGCACCTAGGTAAAGCTGAGTAAATAAGATTGATACCAAACCGATGGGTTTATGCTGTACAGGTAAACTCAAACATAAATAATTCACGGTTAGCTGAACGGACACATTTAACTAGATGGACATATTAATATAGTTGCAAACGAAGATAGATGAAATCGGACAGACAAATAGATGTCCATACAGGCACAGAAATAGCTTCATAATCGAATAGATAGACAACCAGACAGACTGACATATAAAACCCGTACAGGTAGACTGAGCTAGAAATTGATTCTCTGAAAAGAAACTTATAAGCATGTCTTATATGTTACCTTTTTAAAATAAAAAAAATACAATTAAGTAAATCGGATTTACCGTAAGCTGTTCAGTAAATATAAATAGTATAAATTACGTGATTATCATAAAAAAATATTGATTATACACGAATGAAATCATAGCAGTCCTATAGAATCATCATAGAATTCATAGTGAAATAGCATACTCAAATAACTTATTAAACCTATGCAATTATTTAACAGTATTACTGGTCCGATTGTCATCAAACCCAGCGTGTACTCCGAGAGCTCACATAATCTGTCCCACCTAGATCTCAGGCTGACTCTCGGTCTTGTCCGTGCAATACGTTAGCTATTATTTCATATCGGTTTGACCTCTTCTTTCATTTATCTCTCTTTCAGAGCATCTAAAGTGCCAGACGAGTACAAGTTACTAGAAGATTACGTAAACGCTGAGAAGTATGGAAGAAAAAATGGAAACTGTGAAGAAGCTTATTCAAAATGTCCGTTTTCATTATTTAAGGTGTTTGAAATTTAAAGCGTCGAGTCAGCGAAGAAGAATGATTGTGTTTTAATTCTAGCATTTTGTGCATATAATCAACTATTTATAATGTACTCATTATTCAGTGAAGAGACTTGGAAACATTTGTTTGGAGTAAATATCACATACAATTTTCAGCCATGCACTTAAAAATTCCCCCTGAAGTCACAGTGGTAACGGAGAAGTTCTAGGTGTTTATGTTCGTTAGTTCACACCATGCTGAAGCGTCTGATGGGGTGAAATGTATGTTGAAATTAAGTGTAATTCTGTAACATAAAAATACTTATTCACTAATTAATTCATTTGACATAATGTTGGACGGAAGAAAATTGTTGCAGTACAATGAGGTACATATTTATTGTAAAGGCTGTGTTGATTTAAACATTTATGTGTAAGTTATTTGAAAATAATAAAATTTGTTACTCCTGCTTGTTTTCAAAGAATTTTTGTTTCCGAATATACGTATTTAAATTATTCGAAAACATTATATTTATGATTATTTTTTAAATCTTATTACTGAGTAGCTCTATAGATTACCTCACATGTAACACTTGTATTTACTTTAGTACAAGATAGTTGTTATCAAATATAAAATGTAGAAGGAACCTATTGCCACCTATCGTCATTTGAATGGCAGAAACTATGTTCAATTTTATAGTGATAAAAATAATAAAACTTAAGTTAAATTTTTATTATAAAATTCACGCTAGACTTCAATCGGTTTCTTTCAGCGTTCCTCTTTGTTAGCCCATTATAGATTGTAATTAACAAATGATATTTTCATACTTTACATAAAACAGAGTTTTAGATAAACTTTTGGCTGTTGTCGTGTTTAGCACATCTGAACTGTTCTGGTATGAACGCAAGGCCTCTCTAGCAGTGAACTGTAGCTGACAAAAAATATAACTGAAATGCTATTTTTACATGCTTCTGATAAGAAATCCGTAATGAGCTAAAAAACGGAAAAGAAGAAATGTCTAGTGTAATTTTTATCACGATAATACCCCGATATGTATATTATTAAGGCTGTATAAGCTTATGTGGTAAATGAAAATGTCAAACAATACTCACGTAATTTGACTGAATAGTGGAAAGCAATACAGGATATTTGGAACAATGTTTCTGACAATCATACACTAATAAGTTTATGGTAGCCCAAAAATATGGTATACTGTTTTGTTTGAAACAAATATAAAATACAAGTGTATTGTATAAGTTATTTGATTTCTTTATATTTTCTGTTATGAAATGGAGTACTAATAATAATAATTGACAATTAGTCATTGTTTGTGACACTTGTATGTCTATCACCTGTACGTTTCCATAACTATTTTCGTTACTGTATATTTAAATGCCAGAATAACAGGTCAAACCATTAATATTTAAGAGCACTTCTCACTTTCCACTTTTTTTCACTCACAGTAAGGACATGATCACTATCACTGAGAAAAATTGGGTTTTCCATTTGGCAATGAGCAACCGATATACTACTCCTAACTGGAATAAGGATGTAGAGTCAAAAATATGTAATACAATTACTAAACTTTATATATTTGCAAATCTAAACAACTCTATTCAATTATGTACAAGCTGCCCAGTGTCGGCTAACAATACGAAGAATTAAGTTGTGGCGAAATGCTACAAATTCTTCATATACCTATAGAATGATAGGTTTCTTTTTTTGTGGGTGTAAAACACTTAAATATACCATTTCGATTTTCGATACCTCACTACTATAAAGACTTGGTTTGGTCTGATATTTCAATTGTGGTAGTGTCCAGGGTCACTGATGAGGAGTGGAATTCTCCGAAACTAGTCTGGCTTACAAATACACCCCCAATGAAAGAATAGACCATTCCAAGCATTTACTTGTTGTTAAACAAATGTTTAAACAAATCTATTCAGTTATTACCTATTTCATTTTGTCTGTTCTAGCTATATGCTTAAGCTTCGTTAGTTTTCAATTCTGCAGCAAATAAAAATGTGACATCTCTATTCTTTTTGAAAATAACATTTGTGCATTTGTATGACAAAGCATTCCAGCCTCAATTATTCAAAGATTCAGTTAACTGGAAAAAACGAAAACATTTTGATTTAATTTTAGATCTTGTCATATTTTTTTGCTTAACTGTTTATTAATCAACATGAAATCAAGTTGAAAATATGATGAGGTCTATGCTCTTTCTGCACGTACCTTTTACTTCGTTTCATGCCCCCTAGCCCCCCAGTAGCACAGCGGTATGTCTGCGGACTTACAACGCTAGAATCCGGGTTTCGATACCCGTGGTGGGCAGAGCACAGATAGCCCATTGTGTAGCTTTGTGCTTAACTTAAAAAACAAACAACCATCATGCCCCCTAGTGGCACAGCGGTATGTCTGCGGACTTACAACGCTAGAAACCGGGTTTCGATACCCGTGGTGAGCAGAGCACAGATAACCAATTGTGTAGCTTTGTGCTTAACTTCAAACAAAATAAAAAACTTCATTTCATGGAGCTTTGTCATATGTTGCGCTCAACCAATTTTCAGAGACTGTCACGTTAAAGAAACTATCCTTGATTATTATTTCTGAAAATTATCTGTTACTGTTCTGTAAAAATGTTTTCAATTCTTAGGAAGTCTTATTTCTAAGTTTCTTAACTAAAGATTGTTCCAATATTTTATTTGAACATTACCATTCGTATCCTTGCTATTTATTTTGTAGAATGTCTTGTTTTGTTAAGCTTTAGATATGTATCACCCAAAAACTGACTTCTTTGTTCTTTTTTTGTATTGCAGGATCACTAACCTTGATAGCATCTAATTTTGATTTTTTTAAATCATGTAATAGTTTAACTTTTTATCTTCATTTCATTTCCTTTATTATATTTTACTAAAGTGCAACAAGAATTCGTCCAAACTGATATTAATATTATTCTCTTTGAGAGAAAATATCTGTATTTTCTTTAAGTAATCTTTTTCGGTAATTTGTAGTATCCCTCGTGGCTCACCAGTAATCTTGAGGGCTTATAATATTAGAATTAAGGATTCGATCGCTGCAGAAGACAGTTCAAGTAACCCCGTTTACAGCCTTATACTAAAAGAAAACAAACAATATCCGTGGCTGATATGATACACTTATTTTACCCAATCTCTGTATTTAGCAGTTGTGAGTTTCGAATAATGGACACAGAACATTAGAAATATAATGTAGTAGCCGGTATAGGTAAAGGCGAACTGAAAAGAGATAACGTTTAATAAAGAAAGATACTCTACATTAATCTATGTACATATTGTAACCTATACAATCTGTAAAATATATTTTATAAAAACAGACTCAAGGATGTCATGAGCATAGTCATTACTTTCATTTATTTCCATGAAATTCACTACCTGTGAAATATTTCAAAGTAAAAATAAAACATTTACACACTTGCATTAATGAAAATAATAGAGATACTGTTTATTCAAATTCACAAGCCAGTAATAATAGTTAACTTCATAACTGAGCATTCCTATCAAATTTTTGTGTTCTCATTCAAGTTTGGCCTACTAGTTGTGTTCTCAGTGGCTGGTTCACTTTGTTTCATATATGTGTGTGCAACATCTCACGTACACACACACACACAAATGTATATTGCCATATACACATGTTTGAATCTTCCTCACATCACTGTAGACACTCATAGATTTTAAGTCGACCTCAAGCATGTGTGTCAATATCATAATAGCCAACTCGTGTACGTTCATAAACTAAATGCTAAATGTCAGTAATTATGGTTTGGTAAAAAGTCATTACCTTTCAGTGAAGTAACTGAACAGTCAGAATCCAGCTGAACTTAGGATTTTCAGCAAAAATTGTTGTTGCCAGAATTAATATTTGTCCTGCTGCTTTCTTATATATCACTATACACTCATTCACCTCAGTTAGCATCACAAAAAGTAAATATAGATAACCAAAATTAAATACTAAATAAAACTCCTTCCATTTACACTCACAGCCATTTAGTCCACATTTCGTGCTGACAAAAAAACACAACTTCTTCATTGCACATGGGGTAGTTACACACAGCTAACTATTCATATGTGAGTCTCTTTCGAGCACTCCATGGTCTATCCCAAATAACTGTCAATATTCAGATAAGGATGAACAATTTTATGAAATGTTCGACTCATCATTTTACTATAGAAAAATCAATGGATAGCTCAGAAAGAACGAGTCACAAAACCATTCAGTCTTTGGTTTCTTGACCAACTGATTGTTCTAGCTGTCCTCTGTGGCTCAGTGGTAAGTCTGAAGGATTATAATGTTAAAAACCTAGTTTGATACATGTGGTGGACACAGCACATATAGCCAATTATGTTGAATTTTGCTTAACAACAAATAACCAACAAACTGTCTTAGCTTGGAGTAATCAAGTGATTGTCACTAAATGCTGTCCACACATTTTTCTCAATCTAAACTCAACATCCTTTTGGCCATTGGTTACTAGACCAAATAACTGTTGTACCTGTTGATGATCGAATGAAAATCACACAATGTAGTACAAAGTGAGTATCATTCTATAGCTTAAGAAGTAAGGATTGCCACTTCCTTTCAGTCAATGGCCAAACTGCTTGTCTGGTAATTAATCCAAGCCATAATAATCAGCTGCTTTGAAGTAATAATTTCATATTCCTCTGACTCTTTGGTCCCATAATCTGATTCCTGGTCAGAACAGGGCAAAATAGGTTCATCTAAAACACCATACTCACGTGATGAATGTGCTTACGCATGCCTCTTGAATGCTGGATCTCATGTGTCAATTTGTCAGAGTACTAGGTGTAGATCTGTCCAAATAGATCCAGGCTGCTTTTGTATTTCTGGCACAGTCCACAGCCATACCCATTCTCTTTGTTGAAAAGTGATTATCTCGACTGTTATGTTTTAGTATCCCTTTTGCTATATGGTGGTCTTTCCTAGTTGCTGGCATTCATTGGCCAATGCAGTTTTTAGTCACTCCACACAGACTTGAGTG